GTTAGTACAATGGAAGACAACCATACCCTTTTTTAAGGGTGTGTATTAAGTGTAAATTTAATCGAATGTATGGGGTTCAAATCTCCTTTTTTATTATTATTATTTTGTTAGTTTTATTATTTGTGCATTTATAGAATACTTTTTTCATATATTATTAATCTTCACAATTATTTTTTTTAATTGCAGCAGATTGTGAGATATACGGCCGGAAAACATGAAAAAAACATTCTAAAATCTGCATCACACTTCTCCAATCCATCCGCCAAACGAGGCCAAGCATAGGCCTCAAGTGGCAAGCCCATCAGCCAGGCTTACATGCCTTCCGGGCTGCTCCCAGTCCGACAGCCAGAATTTGACACATGGTCGGTCCACTCAAGTCGGTCCGCGGTCGATCCGCTCAAGTCAGCCTGGCCTAGCCAAATGACTCATTCGAATGATCCGCTCGAATTGGCTCTGTCAGTTTCGACTGAAAACTATATAAATAACGTTCTAAAATCTACATTTTACTTCTGATGAGCACCAAATTCGAGGAAGACCGAGACACATGTAGGCTAATATTGTCAATATGTTTGAGGTTAATCGGTCCAGTTGTTTTTGAGTTATGCTTCCAGAAGGACAAACACACCACAGACAGACACACACAACCACACACACGCAGACAGACGGAGCTAATTACAATACCCTCTTTTCCCCTTGGGGGTGGGGGCGACGGGGAAACAGAGCGTAAAAAAAAGGAAAGCAAAACAATAGAAAATAACTTACACATAAGGCCTACTTAAACAATACTTAAACTAATATACGGGTAAAACAACAAAATATTTAAACAAAACTCAGTAGTATATTGTTGTAATGTTTTACCCTTTTTGCATATCTCAATAAAATAATTAACAATATCTTGACGCATATTGTGTGGTGCGCTATAAAAAATTGTTATTGTCATAAAGTTAAAATAAAGTAAATGAAATGAAACACACCGAGCTACACAACAAACTTTATACAGTTACGCCTAATCATACTTAACCCACCAACCTACATCTTCACTCGCATGCTTCGCTATTGCATCAAAGGAAGGAGTGAGCATACATTTTAACAACAATACCTCCGTCCGTTCATTGTTTAAACTTTAACAGGTAGGCCTCAACTAGCAGACCTTTCGAGTATCAAAAATATATTTTCAAGCGCGTATTTGTGCTTTGCTACCACATCGATAAGAATAGATCTGAGCAGAATATTTTCAAATTATTCTAAATCAGGCTTTAATTGCTGAAACTTAAATGCATACACATATAAATGACCCATACTTCAAATGCATGTTTGTGTTTTTTTTTAATCCAATAATAATAATAATAATAATAATAATAGGCTACATTCCGAAAAAAACGCTTATTTTCAAGTTATTCTAAATAGTCAATCTTAAATTGCTGTATTTAATACATACAGTAGATACAGCCTTTTGCTCTTTACTCTAAACGCGGGCTTGTCTTTCTTTTGCTCCGATGAGAATTAAATCCCGCAAAATGACTAACGTGATGTTTCAAATCAACTCTCTGCAGATATCTAAGTGATACAAACCAGTATAAAAAGCAAGGCAAAAATGAATAGTATTTGAGACTATTCAATACCATTTAGAGTTTGATATATATGGCCATAACTTCGAATCAACGGTTGTCGGAAGTACTTGTCCATTATCAGTATAAATAGCTTTTAGGGCCTACGGGTTGTAATATAATGTGTCGAAGACGGCGTGATGCTAAACCACTAAAGTAATGGTAATATTATCTACGGCGTGTCTTGCATTAAAGTGGCACTTCCATTTAGAGGAAATGTGAATGAACTAAAAATAACTTGAAGCATTGAGGTATACATTTAATTTATTTCTCCATAATGTATTTATCGGGCTGTATTTGTTAACTAATTTTGAATTCCATTCTTTGATTGGTTGTTATAATATACAACGTTACCCTAATTTACATACGCGCTTGCTGAATCTCGAGCGTCTAGGACATGCGTTCGTACGTGATGTGGAAGAATCGTGCATTTAGCAAACGTCATATTTAGTTCCGTATGCATCGATTATACTTGATTGTTAATAATTGGATTATAATAGGTATCCCTCTAATTAAAAACCCTCCAACTAAAGACCATTTCCAATTAAAAGACCACTTTTCTGTGGTCCCATTAACAAATTTCTATTATTCTAATTAGAGACAAAAGCTGCTAAAATCCATGGAAATCCCGGTCCGAAAAATGGTCTTTAATTGGAGAGACCTGTATTCGCTCCCGATATTAAAACATGTTGTAAGCGAAGCTTGTGGATTTTCAAACAAACCCATAACCTACCAATCAACTCGTGCGCTCAGATCTCATAAATGTTGACAGAAGGTGGTGTAATATTTTCTAGTTAGCCGACATTTTTTTTTTCACATTGGGATGTGTTTGTAGGTAGGCTTAGACCTAATGCAGGGCCGGCGGTACGTTTTTCAAAGTGGTGGGGGCCACTAGTAATATGAATGGGATTATGAATTGCGAGGGAGCCGATCATACAAAAATCTGCATAGACCTT